ATAATAAAAAAAAATGAATAATAATAAATACTCACATTAATGATTTTATACACGTCTATATTGAAAAAAAATTACAAATTTTAAGCGAATATATGGTTGAATTTTATAAAGTACTAAAATTTAAAATATTGAAAAATAATTTTAACAAACAATGTACTATTTTTTATAATATAATATATTGTACAATTAAAATTATGTAGACAACAAATAAATAAAATTAATAAATAATAATAAACTAATACAGTTTGTTATCAATAGTTTTTGCATCACAGCTTTAGAGTCATGAAAAAAAAATTAAATGGTAATTGTTTTGAGGACTAGGACCTTTATTTTTATAAATTTTTTTTTCTTTTATGTAGAAAATAAATTGTATAAAATGTTATATAAACGCTATACAAGCAGTAACTACTTCAGTCATTCAAAATGTATTTTAATATACATACATGATGTATGTACATATATTATGTGTACCTACATATAGATAATTTAATAATAATTAATATATTTGCACAAAAAAAATTAATGCAAACCATTTTATGGGATGCCTTATTAGAATATATATATAATTTCTATAGAATCTATAGATACTATTTAGTATTTATGTTTATAATATTATGTTACTTAGACATCTATTATTTAAATATTAAAAATTAACTAGATAAATTTAAAAGGTTAGGTAATAACAATTACCTACGTATTGGCAAGTTTTTTGTTTCAATATTTTATATATATATATATATACATATATATATAAGTGGCAAGAGTCAGCAAAATATTGACTAAATCAGCTGCCTGTTAGAGGTATATTATTATTATAGTTATTGCGATTGTTTTTTGTTGCTACACACGATTTTTATTTTTACACGTTATGGTTAAAAGTTTAACAATTGCTAAAATATCCAACATAGATTTAAAATAAAATAAATTTGTAAATTGTTGTAATCAATTATTTATGGAAGACTAAAAAAAGTAACTATACAGAATAACGAAACACGTGTATATTAACTTAAGAGATTGGAAATATTTGAATATATTATTTTGACCATTCAAAGAAAACCTTAATGTTAAGTAAACTTTATACATGGTAGCTAGAAAAATGTTTTCTTCCAATTTGTACTTTAAATAACGATTGTTAACAGTAACATTTTTATGGTTTAAAAATTAGATATTTATAATAAAATTTAAAACCAAATGGGAAGACAAAGAAATGGACATTTTGTAGCGTTTTAAGTAAGTTAAAATTTGAGTGGCCACATTACAGCCATCTTTATGGGTGTTTTAGTCTGATTATACAATGTTTAAAATTAAAGTTAAACAAAAAATTAAAAATAAAATCAAATAACAATATCACTTTATCAACAGCCTAAGTAATTATGTTACACATTTTCAAAATTCTATTTTTATCTATGATTAATTTACCAATCAGTAATTCCATCACAATTACAACTTGTCATGCCAAAACGCATAAAAAMACATATCAAATAAAAACAATCATAAAACAAATTCCAATATGGAGATTTTGTATATGACAAATTGTAATGAGTAATGATTGCCGATTAAAACATTTGAAAAGATATAAATTTTGTAGACATAATTTCTTAAAAAAAATGAAAATAGAATGAAAAGAGACTAAAAGGGAACAAAATAAAAAATGTTAACCTCTTTTATTATTGCAAATTTTCACGTTTCATTGTTTTTCATTTCTTTTTTCTTTTGTCATACATCTTTAAATAATTATTTTTGAATTTAAAGTTTTTGTAAGAAATCAAAAATGAATTACAAACAGATTTTGTCAAATTATAAATTTTAGCGAGGATTAAAAGATTGTAGGATCAGTAGTAATGCATTAAATCACCTAGACTCTATACTCTATGGATGCAATATTCCATCAACTTGGGACTTCGTCGTTAATTTTATTTTGTTTATTAAGAAAACATTGATCCTTAATAGGAACTGGCTTTGATCTAGCTGATTGTGTTTTCTAGAAGAAAATAAATATAAATATTAGTATGCTTTATCATTATTATTGGATGTAACGACAAGAACAAAATTCTTTCTTTTTAAAATGTAAATAAATATTTAATGATAGCATACTCACTCTTCTACTAAATGGAAAACAACCAGTCTTTTCTGGTTCTGGCTTTAAATCTAAAATTAAATCAGGTGATCTTGTTTTATTTGGTCCAAATACATTAAGTTCTTTATAGCAACCAGTTTCGATCATCTAATATAATACAATCAATTTTTTATAACATTATAAATATAATCAAAACATTTAAACATTACATATTATTAATAAAATGGACCTGAATTAATTTATTTGTATTTAATACTCGTGCAAGTTAATAAAATCTTACTAGATACAAGACTTAGTTTAGTATAACAGTGGCTCAACCAGCCGGGAAAGTAAAGGTGATAGAAGATTCTTAATGATGGAAGTATACAATTTGAAAGACAACATAAAGTAAGCGTTCAACAATACAATAACCTAGATATCATAGAAAACATACTTCATTTTGCCACGGTATAGAAACTGAGCCTGTATTGAACTTTGAATAGAATGTATCATCTGTAGCATCTAAATTCACTCCTTTAACAGTGGAAAACTGCTCTATATCTAATACATCCTTAGCATATACAGCATGGGGCTAAAACAGAACATATATCATTGTTAATTAAGTTGTAAAGGCTAATATCTTAATAAAAATATAACTTAGACATACATCTGGAAGAAACGGAGGATCTTCTACACCAGCTTCAAGTCTTTTCCAGTTTATTGTCTTGAAAAATTCATGCTGTTTCACTTCCCTTGAACCGTAACGACCATAATGACAACCAAGTCTTGATTTTGGAGACTTTTTCAATAGCTAAAAATTAAATTTTACTGAATTAATTCATAAATTAAAAGCTTATATTCATTGCATGTTAAGCTAAAATTTTAAGTATTATTGAGATTTTGAAAATATAATGTATCAATGAGAAATCTATACTATTCTGTAATTAAAATCTCCTAGCAATACTATAATCATTATGAAGACAACTGTACTATATTCAAAAATTCAGTGCAATGATCAATTACTGTAGATGRCAATCAGACAACACTAGTTCCTTACCACTGGTAAGTCTACTATGTACTTAGCACAAGTTAACTACTGAGTACGTTTCTTATTCTGAATAATGTATAATGTATAATTTTTACATAAAATAAATAATTCAGAAATAATAACCTCAATTTAATGAATAAAATAAATGATACCACAATTCTAGTAGATATAAGTAGGTATATAAATAATAATTTATATTCGAATACTTAAGTTGTATACATAAARTATCAGCTTGCATAATTCTATGAATATGATAACAAAAATTTACTAAGAATGCCAAACTATATATTCTATATTATAAATATTATAATAATCAAACATTAAAATTAAATGATTTAAAAAAATAATTATATTCTGCAGTTGAGTAATATTTCCAAATACAAATAAAAAGGATCAGTTTCAATGTTTAATAATAATTGGATTTGTTGGGTTAATTAATAATATATTTTTATTGATTGGTAGTCATACTTGTTTACACAGTGATTTAGCTTCTTCAGTAAATTTATGGGAGTATTTTTCTTGTTCTTCTTTTACTCTCCGATCAACTACTTCACGTTTAACCTGTTAATTAACACATTGTTTACTAATATTTTAATTATCTTATGGGATGATATAATTTTACTATAAATCACACTAGAAAACTATTGTAATTATTAAAATATCAATTCAGATATTAATGTTGTACTTAAATAGTAAAAACTAATATTATGATAATATTACACTTAACCACAAATGCTAAATTTTTGTTAATATAAAATTAGACCCTCATAATTTAAAAGCCAATACATTTTACAAGCAACTTTTATGTTGTAATTAAATTATTATGAAAAAATCATAAAAACAATGAAACAATTGACTCAGTATTTTGCATCTGCTAAAACCTACACATGCATAAGATTTTTAAAAATTATTTTACAAGTCCATAGAGATTCAGTGATTGACAGATGTATTAGCCTTTTATGGTTTCAAATCCCAAACTTTGCTTCTTTTTTCTTTTGACTTGTGACAATTTAACCTAACTACTGAGYGTTCAGACGTATACAATGTCACRCAAATTAATATTTATAATAAAAATAGCAATGTATTAAAAAAAATATTCTATGCTCACATTGTTCACGCTTGTATGAGTAGGTTTGTAGATAAGTTTGTAAAGCCATTGTTGTACACAAAAGCAAATGTTCATAATATTTTATTTTATACATACTGTCCAAGTTTAATAGACTATGACCCAAATAAAAATAAACAGTCAAACATTTCACTTCACCAATCAAACAAATAATAATTTATTGAAGTTACATAATCAGTGATATTATAACCATATCCAAAACGGATTTTATTCCCAACTAATTATAATTATTTATGTATATATACTTCATAATATATGTATTATTCACCAAACAAGAGAATTGTTGTTCAAAGAAATGCTAAGGCAATATTCACAATACCCTATACCAGAGATTCCCAACCAGGGTGCCGCGAAATTATTTGAAATATTTTTTTAGAAAAAACAATTTCATTAAAAATATAGCATTGTGAGTAATAAAACGGACTATAATAATATAAAACCTATCCTTACACGTCCTACACCTTACTACTTTTGATTATAATTATGCACTAATAAATAGAACCAAAGTACTCTATAGTATAGTATAGACTATAGAGCATAGGGTGCCTCCRGATTTTTAGAAAATGTCCAAGGGTGCCACGAGTCAAAAAAGATTGGGAACCTCTGCCCTATACTAATACCAATTGTAGTCAAAATCAAAATTTTCTTAAATTCTCCAGACATTGTGTAGTTAGTACAATGCTGGGGAAATATGACACAGTGAGTACCCACCACTAGTACATTATGGGTAATTGTCTTATTAATAGTCCTATTCTCTTTAGTGAAATAGTGCAATATGTTAATTAAAAATGTATTTTCTAGAAAAACATAATTTAATTGAATGAAAATATATGCAATTTAAGTTCATAGAAAATTAAATATGATAAAATAATTTCAAATATAAAGCCCACAAAATCTACACCTTGTGATAAGAAGTCATACACGTAAAGAAATTCAGCATAACTAATGTGTTGAATGAAGAAAAACTAATTGCAACTATAATAAAAATATTTTGTACATAGTTAAATCATAAAAAACTTTATTCCACAATAAACAGTCATATACGAATARATCATGGTAAGAGAAATTGATAGAAAAAAGAATTGCGAGAACTGTGCAGCTATAAGAATAACAAAAAATTATTAATTCATTTAAATTTAATTATATTTTAATACATTTTTACATTGGACAAGACCACTTGGACATTGTACAATGAGAAAATACCGATATTTTGTTACTTAACATTTAGTGCATTCTGCATATTGCCCGTGCATTTCTTAGAATGACTGATTTCCTATTTAACCCAGAACATATACAATATAAATGTTTTTTTGTTTGTTAGGTCAAAACAAAACATTTATTAATYAAGCCATCTACATTTATGGGTATCTAGAAAATGTAGATTGCTTATTGATTTAATAGTAAGGATTATACATTTGTTCTTACTTTTTCTTTTCGAGCTCTAAATGGAGCTTGACCTTCTATCATCTCATATACTAAACATCCGAAGCTAAACCAATCTGTACTATATGTATACTTTTCATTATCAATTACTTCTGGTGCTATAAGACAAAATGTATAGAAAATAATAATTATAGTTAGATAAAACATAATATAAGTTTTAAAAATCAATTTTTATTTACCCATATAACCAACGGTGCCTACTCTTCCTCTGACTGATTCACCTTCAGGTATCTCCATTGCTAAACCAAGATCAGATATGCGAACATGCCCTGCATCATCCAAAAGTATATTTTCAGGTTTACAATCCCTGTATACTATGCCTTGAACATGTAAATGTTCTAATCCACACAATACCTGAGATAAACAAAATTACTTAGTTTATTAAGTATAAAGTATAAAGAAGTTGATGGATAAAATAAATAATAATTTTTTCAGATATAAATTAACTATTAAATAATTTAAATTTTTTTTTTTTATTTAACTATAATTAGTTTTGCTCGGTATAAATAAAATTAAAATAAGAAAATTACCTCAGCGGCATAGAATCGCGATCTTGGAATATCAAATCCAGGTTCAGAACCCATATTGTAAATATGAAATTTCAAATCTCCACCATTCATAATAGTYAATACTAAACAAAGTGCATCTTTTGTCTCATAAGCATAAGCTAAACTAACCTAGAATAAAAAAAATAAAATAAATACCTATTTAAAAACTTGTTAATTAATTTAAAATGCATAAATAAATTTAAAAAATAAACATACCACAAATCTAGAATTAATTTTTTGTAAGATTTGTTTTTCAATTAAAACCATTGCTTCACCTTTCCGTTTTTTGATACGTTTCTTTTCCAATTTTTTACAAGCGTACATCTTACCAGTTGCTCTGACTTGACAAGCACAAACTTCTCCAAAACCACCTTTACCAAGTACTCTATACATGCGGAATGTTTTGTATGTAACAGTTTGCCTGTAAAAAAAAAAAATTATCATCAAGTTCAGATACCTATTTTCTTAATAGCACTATAAGACTACACTTTCCATTACAAAACTAAAATACAWACACACCTTTCTAACCACTTCCATTGTAAAAATCTATGGAAATACATAGAAGATTCAAACAAACTAAATGGACGACCCGCTAAGAATGATTTCACGGCAGTTGAGCAATCAGTAAATAACTCTCTATGAGCAGAGTCTAACTGGTTCCGACATCTAACTATCATATCTTCACTTAGTATATCCACAGCATTAACTGCCTAATACCAAAAACAGTTAATTTTTAATAGTCATAAAAAATAAATCAAAATTAAGCAATAATTTCTATACATACGTCTCTTCTTATATATCTATCATAAAGTATTTTTGCTAGTTCTATTCTATTTTCATCAGATTCTATTTCATATTTTTCCTGTTAACAATACAAAATAACAAACATTAAAAAAAACGAAAAAAAATTAGATGAATTTTAATTTAAACTTACAATGGAATCTAAAAATACATTGTAGCGATGAAACTCTGGTCGTTCTTCTTCACAAAATTGAAGAAAAAGTAACCGGCCAATTGGCTGYTGATCTATTACATAGCTGTATTTCATATCTGAAACAAATTATTTTTTAAATGATAATATTATATATATAGAAGTTTAGATGAACTAAAAATTTACCTATTAGTGGTTTATAATCAACACACTGAGATATATGTGGGAATTGCAGGATTTTTTTCCATTTTTTACTTTTCCCTTTATTGCTATCTGTACCACCTAGAAACAAAAACAAATTTAACAATTTATGATAGTTATTCAGTAGGTACATAGTTAAAAATAAAAACTCAATGCTTTAATACATTTTTAAATAATCTTTACTRCATTAAAATAAAGTTAATTTTTTTTCACAATTTATAACTGTTAAAACATACATATGGTAACCTCAATAATAGACAATGAAAGGAATTTAATGATGATTGTTTGAAAGGAACAAATAATACTGAAGGTACTACCTCCCCCTATTCTTTCATGCATTATAAGTACCAATAAGTTCATTATTATTGTTTTAGTTATATTATGTTGACATCAGACTAAGTAAGCTCACACTTATTCAATTGCAAACAATTAATATATAAATAAAACTATTTAATAAATTATGTTTTGAAAGTAGGATGTATAACTTTCATGCTTGAAATTCATTATTATTTGAAATAATTTTGAATAAAATATTTGAACATTAAAATATAATATTAAAAACACACTTTAAGATGTTGATAYAAAATAATTTGTAAAATTAGAAATATGAAGATAAACAAATATTGATGAAACTTAAAATAGGGCTGCTAACCAAGATGTTATAAAAATTATAAAATATCATATATCGCATAATAATTATTTTATATTATCTCTTTCCAGTTCAATAAGCTTTCAAGTGAAAAGGTACTGTACATAACAGCGAAAAGTACATTTAACTTGAATTTTGATGGCAAGTATAATCTATAATTGCACCAACTCAAATGAAATACAATGAACTTAATAACTACTTCGAACAATATTTCCTCTCAGTTTATCAACATAAATCAATATCATACTTAATACTGAGAAACGAATACTTATGATGAACAAATATTAAGTTAATGTCAATACTATGGATTAATGTTTAATAGCAGATACTATTTTTAACGAACAATTGGTTTTGTTTCAAAATAATTTGAGACCATTTATGATAAGCGATGCTAGACATAAATATGGTTTCATGAATATAAGAGAAATAGAAATAAGAAAAATAGTTGATTGTAGATTATGCAAACATTTTATAAATGGATGCTATTAATATTTGCAAACGTCTAAACTGAATTTTATTTGTGTATATGGCTAGGAAAATATATAACATTGAATGTTTTTAGGTAATGAGTAGGAAATTATCAAATAAATTGTATTAAAACTGAAGAACTTATGCAAATTAATCTAAACTTTTATGCATACACAACATGTGACCAAACTCAGGAAGCATTTTAAATAGTTTTTATACAAATTAAAAAGTTAACTAATTAAATGATATAACTACAGAAAGTTTAATTAATATCCTTCAAATTTCAAATACACATCTGTTATTATATAAGTAATAACCGAGGTAATAACAAATAAGTTTATATTAAATTAAAACTAATTGAAATATTGTATCTCATGATGATTTACTTTGAAATTAAATTGTTTGAAAACCATTTTATACTACCCTACCTACCTATGACTATAATCAATAAATTAACTTAATAACTATAGAAAAAAAATGGATAGTGAAATCAAATAAATTTTTAAAAAAACCACAAAATGTGCCCACAAACCTTAAATTCTTTGTGGCAAAAACAATTTAATAAGTGATACATATAATTAATAAAACAATAAAAAGTATGCACCTCCAATATAATGTTTATTATATTGTCTAGCATTTGTTAAAAATGTTAAACTAATTTTAAAAAATACCAGACATAGGTATACAAGTTTGAGAGTACCAACTAAACATTGTAAAATAATTTTATCAAAATATTTTAATACATATTACTGGTATTAGGTATTGTTATAGTGTACAATTAATACACCTTGCTGGTCTACGAAATACTTTTGTACGATTCATTATTTTTCTAACTAAATAACAAATATTAGTGTAGGTATTTATACATGAGTAATTAGTACACAACAATAAAACATTGTTTTTAAATAATACTGAACAAGTAGCAATGCAGTATACCAGCCTATAGAAACCTTAATTGATTAAAAACTTGTAATAGAGGTAGTTATTAGTCTCAGAATATTTAATGATGAACTGAAAAATATTCAATACTTATTTCTTTTAATATTTCGAGCAAATGGTGAATGTTCTGTATAAACAAAAAGTAAATAGATAATAAAACAGAATATAACTTTAGCCAATACTAAGTTTTTGTGTCAGTGGRTTGTACCCAGAACAATATTGTTAGRTAGCTATCGAGTACTCCATACCRAACATTTGTAGTTTTAAATAATTTGAGTATTATGGAATAAAATCATTTAATAAATTATACGCTACCTATTTAAGTGGATATGGAACAATAATATTATATTAGGCACTGTTAAGTATTATTTTAATGTATTTAATTATAGTTCAGAAATGGATACAACAACTAACATATTTTACAAATTGTACTATTAAAAATCTAYCTACCTACTTACCTATTTAACATCTTTTCAGGCAGTAAGTACAAACACAATATTYAAATGCTTTTTTAAAGAACAAAAGAGTGGAAATGAATACTCTCAACTAATACAACACRCAGCACACCCAAGTAATACAAGTCTCGATAGGTAGTTTCTGCAATAATACCCAAAGTAATATGTAAATCTCGTAGAAGCTTTTTTGAAATACATTTARTCCAGAGAAAGTGAGTCAAGAAACAATATTAATATGATAGATATTCTACAAAAATTAGAGTGTAGGAGTGAGGATAGAATTTTACTGGAAGCAGACATAGTAGATATTGTGCGTGCCCACTATTTACATTACTCTCTGTCGCTGCTGAACGGCAACGGTAAAAAAAAAACCGAAAAAAACAGTCTGCACTGAGTTAAGGCACAGTCATTGAGACAATGGAAGACCTTGGACGACGGATGTGTATCTAACTAAAAATTTGAAAATTAGTTTAACAACATTACCACGGGTTTAGGTACCTACATGCACATTATACGTGACAAAAGTACTTATTTGAACATAGACCAAGTAAGATATAGATATAGRTTTGGGTGCCAGTACAATACGTACATAGATATATATAGGTCAAAGGGGTCGCCCAAAACGGGTGCATTGGCAATAGGTGTGGTGGRTAGGAGTAAAAGTATGAAGAATCGGGGTGAAAACGGATGAACGCCCCCCAACCAAAAAAAGTCTCTACTCTCCCCAGAAGAAAAGCGCCCCTCTAAAATTTAACCACGCGAGACCGAACCCCCCGAACGCCTGTGGCATTGTGTACACGAGGAGAACTTCCCGTTCACATGCCCATGGTACGTGACCGGTCGAATATCGTACCGATAATTCTAACTCGGCGACCCAACACTACTGATTGCCCTGACCGCAAAAACGTCTGTATACGAATTATAATGATTAAATAACAATTACGATACTCGCCTTCTCTTGCTTTGAGGTACACGGTATTGGCAACAATGTTTTCTAATTCCATCAGTTCCAGTTTGGCTGATTTCCGGATGCCCGGGCTGACGTCCACCACTTCCCATCAATGACACCGTTAACCGTTTTCGACGTCTTCGTGTTCGCGAGTCGACAATGTCTGTGCGTGTGCGTAAAGAACCGACCCCGTATGTATAATAATATTATAATAGCGACAATATTATATTATTATGTCTGAACGTGTGCTCAAACGAGTCGTACGTGTGCGTGTGTGTATGCGCGCGCGCCCCCGAAAAATCTTCCGGTTTGCGTGTTGATTTTTTYTTCTCGCTTCGCTCACCTCCAATTCACGCGGATCAAATTTTATCTTTCTCGCCCGTACACGCCTATCAGTCGTCAATAACTATTCCAAACGGAAGTATGCGCAGACACTCATAATAAATTTACAACAACAATAATGTGAACCAAAAATCAGAATTTAGATTATATTAAAAATATTATTATTATTTTACTTTGTTATCACGACGCACCGAACGAGACGTAACTATAGTGTAACGGAGACGGCAAATCGGTGGTCGGTTACCAATAGCCGATTGCTCGAGATACGCGTCGGTGACGGCGGCGGCGGCACGACTAGAGGCAGCAGGTACGAGAAAAGACGTGTGGACCTACCTACCTGTCTGCCTGCCTGCAGCCTACTTACTACTACTGCTGCTACGACCAACTCCGCGGTTGCCTATTATGACGTTGGTGATGATAATAATAATATGAAAACGAACRACGATAATAATATTACTAATAAAAATACTACTAAATAGCAGGCTGCAGTTGTAGTGGTAGTCGTAAAACAATCGGCGGGCGATTGATAACAGTATTTATTGTGGTATTTTTTTTTTAATTTTTTTTTTTGACCGAACACTCGCGCGGTCGTATCTTCGTCGTCGGCGGTGGTGGCGGCGGCGGCGGCAACGTATATAGCACGGATTCCTCCACCCCGCGCGCACGAGAGACACTACCAACGAACAGTGCACGCGTTGACGTCGTCGACGTTAGTGCCCGCGCGCCGCATTCCCGGTTCCTACCGCGGTGCTAGCTGGTGCTGCCGCCGCCGCCGCCGCAGATCGTGCGTATGTGTGTGTGCGCGCGCGCCGGCCGTCGGGACGGTCCGATTACGGCCGTAGGCGCAAAACATCGAACTCCTCTCCTTGTTGTAGTGTGCTGTTTCGTAGTAACGGGCCGCCAGCGGTTACCCCGCCCGCCAACAGAAGGCGGCCCACCCTCGCCGCCGCGGCCGTTTCATTTCGACGTTCGTTCGTCGTCGTCCGGCGACAATGCGCGCGCAATCCGCGGGCAACGCTGCCACGCGCGCTTTCGTTCGTTCCGACTCGCCGTACTCTTGCGCGGCGACGGTGGCCCTTGAAACGCGTGCGACGTACGCGCGGAGGATCGACTTTTCGCGGGTGTTCCGCACCAACACATTGGTGAGAGGGCGCGAACGGGGGGGTGCACATTTTGGGATCCGCCGTTACGAGCAATAATAATAATAATAATAATAATATGAAATCACGATCCCTTCCCGGCGTAACAAACGCTTTGATGAATTTTTTTCGTTATTTGTTGAAGCAAAATAACTTGTTATCCTATCTATTTCCTGAATGCAGAGCTTGAGTTTGAAGTAAAGTGTTATACTGTTATATATTACGAGTATACAAAGTCTATACTTATATTATACTGCAGCTTGTAAAGTGTACAGAAAAAAAGTAAAAATAATAAAATACGAGTAATTGTAGGTATAATATTGATGTATTTCATATTATAATTATAATAGCATATTTCATATGCTAATTATTATGAACCTTTTTTTTGTTGACAATAGTACCTATGATTTTTATTTGTTCTATATAATTTCCTTTTTGTAAGCATCGTTGAATTGAAAACAAAGGGACCTAAATAGTTAACGAATCTTTTGTTAATATAATATCTACTTTTATTTGAAGTTTAAAATTATTTTCTATTATGCGTTTCGGGTATTATAATAAATTATTATTAATACTGATCAATAATTATTTTTCCAAAATAAGTTTTACTCAGTAAATTATAGCGAGCACAGTACCTATACTAAATTCATTATAATTTATTTATGTGTATCCATCTATAAAAATAGTCGTTTTTTTCAATTTGTTCAAATGATTTGAACGTTTAATTATTTGTATAAACTATAAAGTAAAAAATCGTATATTGATTTGTTTTTATGTTATTTACTCATTATCGAATTTAAATTAATTATTAACTTGAAATGAATAATTAATTACAAACTCACTTATGTAACGTTCTTCTGTAAATAGACGATGAATCCTATTATCAAAATTTAAATCGCTTTAAATTTACTGGATAATAAGGTTCTGATTTAAGGTGAGACAATTATTTCTCCGACGAACATCCTTGGTTGGATATTAAGTTTTTGTCGAGCAAAAACCTATATGTTTGACGAAATATGGTATTTTTCTTCTTTCGTGTTTCGTTATCGTTGTGCTATGATAATAATATACTATAAATTATAATATATATTAATAGAATAATTCAAAAATTTAAATTTTCTTCTACCTAAGTACAGTTAATATAATATAATAAATAGACACAAATATAGGGACTGAAGTCCATAATAATATTGATTTAGCATATCCCATTGGCCCTTACCACATTTATCGACAAATAACAACAATAATAATCTTATCGTCTGTGTTTATATCACCTTTTTTTTATTATTTTTACTTTCAAAAACAATCTGTACAACAAGCACATTTAGTAATTTTGATATAGAATATATACATAATTTTTTTTTTTAAAACAACAACTTTTAAAGAAGTCACCCATTGGTAACACCTAAGAACTTATAGTTGGATTTAGATCACTTAAGGAGATCTCGATTCCAATTTCGTTTGAGCCTTCGAGGGGGGTTGCCTGRGATATGCAGTGAAGCCATATCTTTAATGAGAGGATTAGTACTGGAGTTGAGTTGGRAGTRGAAACGGTGGTAGTGAATTTTGGCGTAGTCATTGACATTAGTTACTTTGAGGTCGTTGTGAAGTGACAGGTTTGTCATGTACCATGGAGCACCAGTTAAAGTACGTAGGGCAATGTTTTGGAAAGATTGGATGGGGCGAATGTTTGAGGGTTTGGCCATTCCCCATATTTGAATACCATACGACCAGACAGGTCTGATCATTGTATTATACAGTTTATATCACCTATAGGTAATATTAATAGARATCCAATACCGCAAAAACAAAATGTKAAATAATTTTTGTTTGGTTTARAATTATCGATGAAAATAGTGTTTCCTTTGTACTTATTCGATAAWGCTTGATTCGGGGGGGAGGGACTTGACATAGTTTTGGTGGTCAAAATTCACCCACACCCCACACCCTCCCTTGATGCTATAGATGCGTTAACATATATAGTTAAGGTATACATAATAATATGCATTATAAATAATAAACATATTACAAAAATGTATTTTAATAAGAGCATCACGAGCGCCGCTAAGAACTATAAATTATAATATTTTTTTTTTTTAACACACGTGTTCGCGGTGGATCAGTGTGCACCGCAAAACGTCTATAATATATTTTAATTTTAATTAATTAATTTAAATTTATATATTTTATATACAATATATTATATTATATATAATAATATAATGTTATAAAATTCCACGTTGGCCTGCGTGTAATGATTTCCATGACGACTAATACAATTATAGCAAACAACCGATCTTTCGACTTGACCAAATTTGTGTAATGTTCGTACTCGCRCGAGTTTGTATTTATATAGAAATTCAAACTCGGCGCTTGATCTGACCTCGCTGCAAGTTCCCCCGCGAACGGTATATAAATATATAATGTATATATTATACGTCCCGCGGGGGCATCGTCCCGAAGTAGTTTATTGTTTATATCATATATATATAGTGTATGCTGTATCTATACACACGCGACGTAAAATAAAGAGGGAGGCCGTTTATCGCAAGCAATTTAAAAATCGTTAATCCTCCGAATRYTGTCCCGAATTTTTACGCGTACTGTAATATTATAGACTTTAAATATTATRTAGCAATCGCGTATATTATAATGGTTTATATGATTGTGTGTCATTGCATTTGGCGTGTTCTCCTGTTTGCACCTATACATCATAATATTATACAGTGCAATGCATAGTCAATCATATAACCTGCAGTATAATGTATCAATATACATTATGTGTAGGTATTATTTTATACAACATAGAGAAGACTGCATTATTAACATTTACAACGACCTCGCGGACTTTCTGCTCTGTGTACGTTTTCAGGCGGAAAACTCTCGCGGGTGAGTTGTTTATATCCTGCTGTCACAGTAACCGCCGCCGAGACCGCGTTGTCTGTATTGGCATAATATAACATTTTCAACGTAAATAATTGATGTAATCAATATTTATCAACTCGCATGAACCGAATAAAATGTGTATCGAAGTGATCAAATATAATATAATATTATTGACTAACTATAAAATAACAAATTGTTTTTCTCTCTATTTTTATTTTTAAGCTTTTTTCTTATTTACTCTATTATTTGTAAATATTGTTTTTTATTGTAATTTAATAACTTTCTATTTCCAACGTAATGTAGTTTTATGGTATTTAAAAAAAACTATTTAACGGACCTACTTTTATAATTATGATAAAATTTAAATAAATATTTATAATAGAATACATAATATGGTAACATGCATTTAAAATTTAAAAACAATAGTACAAAGGTATAGGTATGATTGAGAACATACCAACATAACCAATAATTTGGTTCTTGCATCGCTAAATAATTATATACCTACAATATATCACTAGTCACAACATATTATACGAATAATGTAAAATATATATCGTATATGTATATAATTAAAATGTTTATCAAAATTACTTAAATTCAAATGAGAAAAATGACTTATATTTATATGTAGCATCCTTTCCAAAATAGTTTTTTTACAAATTATAATACTACTATACTACTACTTTATTATAATTAAATAATAAAATTTTAATTATAATAATATGTTTATTGACGATCGCGTTTAGGGTAATGAAGTGTACAAAGAGTTTCCAAATGTAAATTTAACTTGAAAATGTTTAGGTAATATAAAAAATACCTACAATAAGTCGGTATTATTGTACCTACATTATATGACAATATTAATTTTTTTATAAATCAATCGCTGATGTCAATCATCTATAATCTGCATTTACGACTTTTAAACCCATTTAAACCATACATGTTTTTAAGTGGAAAAAGATAGTCTTAAACCAGCTGGACCTGGTGTAAAAAGTCGTAACTAACCGCGTCAACCCATATAATATTCACTTGGATTTCGGGACAAATAACACTGCCACGATAATTAATACTATACGCTGTTATATTATTATAGTCTATGAAATTTAATGCATTAACCGTGTATGGTACGCAGACGAATAGAGCGACCTATAAGCGTTTATCTGGACCAAAATGTATTTATTGCTAAACGTCGTCGGGTCGATGCAGGATGAGTTGGGGCTGCATTGCATAATAACGGGAGAGATAAAACATAATAATATTATCTTTGAAATAATCGCGAAATCGTAAAACACAATCGCAAATCTCTACGCACGATTCGTCCGTCTCGACCTCTGCTAGATTTAATATTGTTATTTTTTACTAATTTTGAATGGTTTTTAATATTTTTTTTTTTTTTTTACAAGCATTATATCGCATATAAACGCACTCGAATGCGCCGCGATCAAGTCGATGGTAATATTATATAATGGCTGCACTGCAACCTCGCAGACCGCAGTGTACAAATTTACCACCTGAAATGAAAAAATGCTGGCCCCCCACACGCGTGAATAATTGCATATACCTATCTATTACAGTTATTACTATAGGTATATTGTACACATATACGCGCACTACATACCTAAAACTAGCCAATCCCCATCTAACTTCAATATTATTGTTACCTATATTATAATATGATTCGTTTTGGGCCGATCGAAAAATCT